CCAAATCCAAGATTATACTCCACTAAAAGGTGGGCAAGCGAGATAAGTCTCTCTTCTTAGCTTGAAGTTGTAATTGTAGATCTTGTAAATCATGAACTCTTCAAGCTTCGAGAACTTGAGTGTTCTCTTAAAGAGAAACCACAACTCCAAAATCTATAAAAAAATTCTTTAGGGACAAAATTCCCTCTAGGCTTAGGATAACCCTAGCTCTAGATACCAATGTAACAACCACGGCCCTTATAACAACGGGCAACTGTGTGCTTTTATTTATTCAAAAGGCTTCCAAGATTAAACTAATCCCAACAAGGGATATTGTAGCCTTGAAGTAGTAATAAGGAGCTCGAGAGGAGAACTTGATATGGTTGTTGATAAAGCTTGAGTATGTAGGTAGCTTTTTGTAGAGGTTGTACTTGAAGTAACACCACTCTAGTTGTGTAGGAGAGCTTGTTAGGAAAGTCAAAATTTCTTAGAGAAATCCCATTTCCAAATTCGTAAGTTGGAGTCTATAGTGCATCTTTTTTTGGTTGGGAAAACTCAACTAATGTGATTGTCAGAATATTATGCTCTAGCCTGTAGTGGGGTGCTCTGTAGCGAGTACAACCCTTCTAGGGTTTGCTATTTGTATCCCCATTCTTGCTAGTGCAACCCCCCTCTTTCGCCTAAACTCTCTTGCCTAGCTAGGACTCTCCTAGCTATGGCTCCTAAGACTACCGCTTATCTCAACATGGTATCAGAGCTTAACGTTCCTGGCCTGTGGGCCCACTTCACTGCTTCCGCTGCTACTGCTACTCCCTGTCCGCCGCGCGCCCCGTGGTGCGCGGCGTCGAAACTAGGGTTTTCAGCCCGCCGTGCGCCCCGAGGCGCGCGGCGGTTTTCTGCCCGCCGTGCGCCCCGAGGCGCGCGGCGGTTCTCTGCCCGCCGTGTGCCCCGAGGCGCGCGACGGGTTCCTGCCCCGTCACTCGGCACGTCGCCCCCGGGAGGCGCTGCGACGGGCGACGGGGACCCGCGCGTCGCCCCCCGTCGCCCGTCGTGGCCTGCGCGCGGCCCGTACACCCGGCGCGCGGCCCGTACACCCGGCGCGCGGCCCGTACGGGCTGCGCCAGGCCTGCGCGCGGCCCGTACGGGCTGCGCCAGGCCCGCGCGCGGCCCGTACGGGCTGCGCCAGGCCCGCGCGCGGCCCGTACGGGCTGCGCCAGGCCCGCGCGCGGCCCGTACGGGCTGCGCCAGGCACGCGCGCGGCCCGTACGGGCTGCGCCAGTCCCGCGCGCGGCTCGGACCGCCTGCGCGCGGTTCGGGAGGCTGTGCCAGGCCCGTGGGCGCCCCGTTCTTCGCTGCCCCTGTCCTCCCCGCTGTCCCCCGTGCTTCTGAAGGCGCCCCACCCCTCCTTCTGCCCGTTCTCCTGGATTAGGGTTTGGGGTTGGGGGGTATGGGGGTGCAGCTTCTGTGTGCCGTTCCCTGCTCCTCCTCCTCCTCCGTCTCCCTGTGCTGCAGCTGCCGCTGAGGGGGGTGGACCTGTTGGAGCCGTCGGAGTGGTACTAAGGGGGGGTGAAGGGGGAGTGGAGCTAGCGGTGTAGCAGCGGGTGTGTGTCGAGGGATGTGGGACTGTTGGGGGAGGTTGAGGGGAGGTTGCCGTCGTGTCGTACGCAGCGCCTGTACTCCGGGGCACTCACTCCCGGTAGCTCAGAGAGCCGGTTGCGCCGTCGCCTGTGGGTCCGTTGCTCCTGCTGCTCGTCTTAGCCGCGGAGCCTGTTACTCCTGTACTCCGGGGCACTCACTCCCGGTAGCCACTGTGTCGCACCAGAGCCGTCTGTTGCCCGTGTGACTGCAGCTTCAGTCGTCGCCTCCCATCTACTCTCCTCTCGCCAGCCCTCCTCCTCCTCACTTCCCTGTTGTGACTACCACTAGCTTTGCTCATAATTGTGAACTTTAAACTATTGCTTCTTAAACTTGTGCTCAGAATGTGTGGTGACATTGTGATCCACCCTGAGCTTGTACTGCTTTGCTTGCTCTGCTGATTACACCCCACTTTGGCTATGGGGGTGTGTCAGAATATTATGCTCTAGCCTGTAGTGGGGTGCTCTGTAGCGAGTACAACCCTTCTAGGGTTTGCTATTTGTATCCCCATTCTTGCTAGTGCAACCCCCCTCTTTCGCCTAAACTCTCTTGCCTAGCTAGGACTCTCCTAGCTATGGCTCCTAAGACTACCGCTTATCTCAACAGTGATTTGTATGGTTGCTTTATTGTTTGGTTGGATTGTAACAACAACTTGCACAATGTGATTGGTTGGAAATCCAATCTTTTCAATCTTCACTTAAATGGGTTGGAAGTTTCCAAGGCTCAAGCTTGAGGGTTGGAAATTCCCAACCAACATTTCATATTCCAAACCTCCTCAACCGAATCTCTCGTCATTCAACCTTTCGTCGAGAAATGTCTTGACTTAGAACTATGTGGACTCAGGGCAAGTTAGGTGTGTGAGGTAGGTATGCGTTACAGGTGACTGTCAACTCGACTTCTACTAACCCCGCAAGCCTCCTCGGTGCAGCCGCACATATCAGGTCGCGCATTGCTAAGACGTGGGTCGCGTCGAAGTCCACCGCATAGCCGTGCCCCCTGTGCCTCTAATCGCCATGCGGCGTCAAGGCGTCTGCATGGAGTAGAGGGGATTACAGAGTAGAGGAGGAACTACGCAACCGACAATGCACAAAGTATGATGGTTACCACCAGTGCAGCGGGCAAGGGATGTGATGCAACTGTAATACTAAGTAATGACCTCATGTATCGTTTCAAGGTGCTTGTAGCGAATGCGAGTGCACGTGTGTCGCCCATGATGATCATTGCGGCACGGGTAAATACGCTACCAGTCTCACTCCACCTCGTGCGTCCTCGTCTTTCCGACTCTGATCGCATACAAGAAGGTAATGGACAAGCTAATCTCAGTGTAAACAAGTGGTTCAACCTGTTAGAGGTGCTTCGTGGAACCACACTACGCGACGGCTAAATTCGGACATATGGCGAGAAAAGCAGACCGACAGCAGCATTAAGGTGGTGGCGTGTGGAAAACGTTTTGCGAATGAGCTAAGAAGGCTGTAAGGAGCTTGGCGTGTGTGCTAAGTTATGGGCTATGAGAATTGAAGATGGGAAGAAACGTGAGGAAGAGTGGTGAAGAAATGACTAGGGGAAAAGAATGGTTTGACGAGGAAAAAAATTGGGGTTGAAATAATAGCGTGGTTCACAAGTTTATGATTTTCCGACTTGGGGTGTGTACAAGGGAGAAGCGTCGGTTGCGTGTACGACTCGATGTGACACTTGGCGTGCGGGACAAGTTATGTTACCAAGAGAGTTTGCTTGTGGGACACGTTTTGTTTCAGTTACATAGGTACATTGGGTAGAGTATAAAGCATTTGTATTAGTCAGTTGCATACAACATTTGGGAAATCTCTTGCTTGGTGAAAACCAGTATTTAAATCTCATTGGTGATACTTTTGTGATAGTTCAATGAAATCTCCATCAAATCTCCGCGAAAGCATTCGCGAAGTGGAATCAGTGGAGAAAAGGAGTTCTTCACGCTTGCGCCATGGCGGACGAGGCGAGTTCGGGATCCAGCGTGAGCCTTGTGTCAAATTATATGTTTCATATTATTTAGTTCTAGGTTGTGTAGGGGTGATTCTTAGAGGGTACAACAATTCTCTCGATACTCTTGTACCCCCTCCCCTAACCTAATCGACATACTTTCCTCTCTAGTCTTGACATGGTATAGAGCAGGAAGTTTCCTAGGGCCCACCACGGAAAACGAAAATTTTTTTTTTTCCTGCCCGGAGCGCGCTTCGCGCCTACCCTAGTCGCGCCCCGTGCGCCTGTCCCTAACGGCCCGTCGCGGCCCCTCTTTTACAGTCCTCTCACGGCCCCTCGTTGGCCCCTCGCGGCCCCCGCTTACGGCCCCTTAGCGGCCCCCCCTTTTTTGCGGCCTCGTCGCCCTCCCCCCCCGCGCGGCTCTGTCGCCGCCCTTTCGCGACCTCGTCGCCGCCCCTACGCGGCTTCGTCGTCGCCCCTACGCGGCCTCGTCGCCGCCCATACGCGACTCCATCGCCTCCCTCCCCTTCGCGGCTCTGTTGCCGCCTCTTCGCGGCTTCGTCGCCGCCCCTCGCCGCCCTTCGCGGCCCCTCCAGGACCCGTCGCGGTCCCCTTTCCTCTCGTCTGCAGCAGCTGTCGCCACTGAGCCTGCAGCAGCTACCGCCGCTGATCTTCAGCCGCTGCCGCCGCAGAGCCTACAGCAGCAGCCGCGGCCGGACCTGCAGTAGCAACCGCCGCCGAGCCAGCAGCAGCAGCCGCGGTCGGACCTGCAGTAGCAGCCGCCGCCAGACCTGCAGCAGCTGCCGCGGCCCAGCCTGCAGCAGCTGCCGCCGCCGAGCCTGCAGCAGCTGCCGCCGCCGAGCCTGCAGCAACAGCCGCGGCTGAGCCTCCAGTCGCAGCCGCCGCCAGACCTACAGCAGCGGCCGCCGCCGACCCTGCAGCAGCAGCTGCCGCCGACCCTGCAGCAGCTGCCGCCGCCGAACCAACAGCAGCAGCCGCCGCCGGACCTACAGCAGCGGCCGCCGCCGACCCTGCAGCAGCTGCCGTCGCCGAGCCAGCAGCAGCAGCCGCCGCCAGACCTGCAGCAGCTGCCGCCGCCGAACCAACAGCAGCAGCCGCCGCCGGACCTACAGCAGCGGCCGCCGCCGACCCTGCAGCAGCTGCCGTCGCCGAGCCAGCAGCAGCAGCCGCCGCCAGACCTGCAGCAGCTGCCGCCGCCGAGCCTGCAGCAGCAGCCGCCGTTCGAGAATACCACAGCAGCCGCCGCCGTCCCTGCAGCAGCGGCCGTTCCCGAGCCTTCAGCAGCTGCCGCCGCCGCCGCCGTCACTGCCCCGGCCCTGCCCTGCTAGAGCCGCACTGCCCTGCCCTACCGCGCTACTGCTGCTGCTGTCACTGCTACTGACACTACTACTGTTCCTCCTACTGCTACTATGGCTAGCCCTCCTGTGCTAGCCTTCGATGCTGAGGGCCGCCCAGTGAAGTTTGACACCTGGCTAGATGACCTGCACCTCTTCCTACAGCTCACTGCCAAGGAGGACATTTCACTGTACGATCACGCCCTAGGCCATGCTACTGCCCCTGACACCACTGCTCACAGCACTCTGCGCTCCCAGTGGCAGACCCGTGACGCGCACGCTCGCTTCGCTATTCGCAACTCCCTACCGCTAGATGAGCGCGAGCACTTCGGCCAGTGCAAGACTGCTAAGGAACTGTACACAGCCGTAGTTGCTCGTTACTCCTCACCTGCGTCTGCCGCACTAGGCCGCCTCTCACTCCCCTATCTGTTCCCCGACCTGGCCTCCTTTCACACTGTTGCTGACCTCATCACCCACCTCAAGACTAGTGAGGCCCGCTTTCGCGCTGCTATGCCTGCCGAGTTCCTTGCTAGCAACCCCCCCCCGCTCTGGCTCACTCTCTACCACATTGTCACCCGCCTCCCTGACTCTCTGCGCACAGTCAGGGATTCCTTTCTAGCTCGCTCCCCTACTGAGCTCACCATTGCCCTCCTCGAGAAGGACCTACTTGCAGCTGAGGCGAGCATCGTCGCCGTAGGTGCCTCTCGTGGCGAGCCCCGCACCCCCTTCTTTGAGGGGTGTTCCCCTTCCCCCCTTCTCCCCTCTGTCGCCTCTGCTTCTGCTGTCGACCTCCTTGGTGCTGAGAAGGTCGGGACCGCGTCTGCTCCGAGCGGGCGCCGCAGGACCAAAGGAGGCAAGGGTGGAGGTGGCGGCGGGGGAGGCGGGGGTGGAGGCGGTGGGAGTGGAGGAGGGGCTGGAGAGACTAGTGGCGGCAGTGGGGGTAGTGACGGCAGCGGCGGAGGCGGTGGCAGGGGCGGGGGCGGCAGCGGGGGCGGCGGTGGTCGTGGCAGCGGCAGGGGAGGGGGTGGTCGAGGAGGTGGCAGCGGCGGTGGTGGTCGTGGAGGCGCTGGCGGTGGTCCGAGCCAGCAGCACACTCCGTCGCTCCAGGAGGCCCGTGAGTGGTATGCGCAGCGTGGGGGGGCGGGTGGCCTTAGCTGCACGTACGTCATCCGCACTGGTGACCGCGCTGGTCAGACGTGTGGGAAGCCGCACCCCACGCCGCGCTGTTTCGCGCGCCTTGACGACGCTTGGCGCACTCAGTTCCCTGACGGCAATGAGCTGCCCCGCTGGTTTGATCTGGAGAAGAAGGGTGTTGATATCTGGGCTTTAGACTTTGATGCTATTCTCACTGCCATGTATGCTATGTTTACTAGTGGAGAGGGTGCTCAGTACTTGCGTGTTCCGCCCGACCCGGGCATTCTCACCAGTGAGGCTGCTGCTCTAGGTGCTAGTGCGTCTGCAGCTCCAGGTGCTCGCGTGTCTGCCACCTCAGGTGACGGTGAGGCTGTCGCTCTAGGTGCTGCTGAGTCTGTCTCCCCTGGTACTGAGTCGACTGCGGCACTGCACACCTTCACACTGGACTCAGGTGCTTCTCGCTGTTTCTTTCGAGATCGCACTGCCCTTGAGCCACTCGCTCGGCCAGTTGCTGTCTCCCTCGCTGACCCCTCTGGGGGTCCGGTCATTGCGACCTCCTCCACTGTTCTTCCCTGTCCTGCGGTCCCGTCTGGCACACTGTCTGGTCTCTACCTCCCCTCGTTCTCTACGAACTTGGTGGCGGGTAGTGCGCTCCAGGACGGGGGTGTTCACCAGTTCACCCCTGCCTACGAGCGCGTGACACACTGCACGTGTGCTCGGACGGGCCGTCACCTGGCTACCTTCACTCGGCAGCCGGGGTCGGACCTGTACACACTGACCACTGAGTCCCCTCAGGTAGCTGCATCTGCGTCTGCGTCAGGTCAGCTGTCCGCCCCCTGCTCGTGTCGCTCTCTGGCGCATGAGACTGTCCTCTGGCACCACCGCCTTGGTCACCCGTCTGTGCAGCGCCTTCGGGCCATGCACAAACGGGACCTTGTTGCTGGTCTTCCCAGGGTTCTCCCTCCCCTCCCACCCTCGCCTGCTCCTCCCTGTCTTCCCTGTGTCGAGGGGCGGCAGCGCGCCGCTCCTCACTCCTCCTCCTTTCCCCAGACGACTGCTCCTTTGCAGACGCTCCACTTGGACGTGTGGGGCCCAGCCCGCGTCCGTGGACAGGGTCAGGAGAGGTACTTCCTGATTGTTGTTGACGACTTCTCGCGCTACACCACGGTCTTCCCCTTGCGCGCCAAGGGTGACGTCCCTGATGTCTTGATCCCTTGGATCCGCAGATCTCGTCTCCAGCTCAGCAAGCGTTTCCACTCCGACTTTCCTGTCCTGCGTCTGCACTCTGACAGAGGTGGGGAGTTTTCCTCCGGCCTCTTGGAGGCCTTCTGTCAGCAGGAGGGCATTGAGCAGTCGTTCACGCTTCCGGCCTCTCCACAGCAGAATGGGGTTGCTGAGCGCCGCATTGGTTTGGTCATGGAGGTCGCTCGTACCTCCTTGGTTCATGCGGCTGCCCCCCATTTTCTGTGGCCGTTTGCAGTCCGATACGCTGCGCATCAGCTCAACCTCTGGCCCCGAGTCTCCCTCCCGGAGACTTCTCCGACCCTGCGTTGGACGGGAGAGGCTGGCGATGCGTCGCGTTTTCGGGTCTGGGGATCCCGAGCTTTTGTTCGAGACACGTCCGCGGACAAGCTCTCCCGTCGCGCTGTCCCCTGTGTCTTCCTTGGCTTTGTCCCGGACGCCCCTGGTTGGCAGTTCTACCACGCCACCTCGCGTCGTGTCCTGGCCTCTCAGGACGTCACTTTTGACGAGTCCGTCCCCCTACCCCTACTACCGCCTCTTCCCCTACCGCACTGCCCCGCTCCCCCCCCGCCTCTCTTCCTCGCTCCAGGTGCTGAGGTACCAAACCCCCTCCCCCCTCAGGGTGCCACTCCCTCAGGTGTGTCCCAGGTAGACCCGGGTGAGCCTGTCGAGGTAGCTGTCGACTCTCGTCCTACTAGGGGTGCTAAGCCTGGGGGTGCTGAGCCTGGGGGTGCTGTGTCTGGGGGTGCTGAGCCTGGGAGTACTGAGTCTGGAGGTGCGGAGCCTGGGGGTGCTGAGCCTGGAGGTGCGGAGCCTGGAGGTGCGGAGCCTGGGGGTGCTGAGCCTGGAGGTGCGGAGCCTGGAGGTGCGGAGCCTGGGGGTGCTGAGTCTGGGGGTGCTGAGTCTGGGGGTGCTGACCCTGAGCGTGCTACACCTGGAGGACCCCTCTCCTCCCCACAGCTGCAGGAGAGGTACCTACAGTACTGCCGCCTCCGGAGAGGTGCTACTGGAGCTCGTACCAGTACTTCCCCTCCTGCCCAGGAGCTCCCCCCCATTCAGCAGATCCGAGAGTGGTACACGCGACGCTGCAGTCTTCGGAGTGGTGCTCCTGGTGCTGCGGACCCTGGGGTTGGCGCTGCTCCTGGTGCTGAGGACCCGGGCGTTGGAGCTGCTGCTGGTACTGCGGACCCGAGCGGTGGAGCTGCTGCTGGTGCTGAGGACCCGGGCGTTGGAGCTGCTGCTGGAGCTGAGGACCCGGACGGTGGAGCTGCTGCTGGTGCTGAGGACCCGGGCGTTGGAGCTGCTGCTGGAGCTGAGGACCCGGGCGGTGGAGCTGCTGCTGGTGCTGAGGACCCGAGCGGTGGAGCTGCTGCTGGTGCTGCGGACCTCCCCGCTGGTGCCTCTACTGGTCCTGGAGACGCTGTGCGGCCGCGACCGTACTTCGTACCGCTTCTTCAGCAGGTTCTTGGTCAGGCTCCTCCTCCTTGTCCTCCTCCCTCCGTAGAGTGTCCTCCGCCTGTCCAGCCGCAGTCACAGTTACCGCCTGCCTCGCCTCTCCCTGCTCCCTCTCCTTACACTTGTCCCACAGGAGGTCTTACAGAGCGTCGTGAGCCTGAGTCTCGTCCTGCGTCGCCTGTTCGTACTGCTCGCACTGGTCGTCGTGTCCCACGTGAGCGTCCACCTCCTGTCCCTGGCACTCACTACATGACTCTGCGTCCCTCTACTGCTCCTCAGCGTGTCCCTCTGCCGTCTCCTCCTGCGTCCTCTCTACCTACTCTTCCTGACCCGGAGTCTGACTCCCGTCGTGCTGCCAGTCCCACTGTCCCGCGTTTCCTAGCTACTGTTGTCACTGACCCTACCTTTGAGTCCTCTGCTGCGTCTGCTCTGGTCGCTGAGTTGGTTGACTTTGCTGCCCGCTGTCGTCTAGACTACGCCGCTAGCCTAGTTGCTGAGTCTGATTCTGTCTGTCCTCCGTCCGTCGGGGGTGAGTGTGCTCTTGGCACGGACGTCCTTGAGGACAGGCAGGAGGAGTTCCAGTGCTTTGCTACTGCTTTGCCCCACCTCGTGTCCATGCTAGTTGCCCCTGAGGGAGACCCGGATGCACCAGACATCCCGACCCCGCGCACTTACGCTGAGGCGATGGCGGGTCCCTACTCCTCTCAGTGGCATACAGCCATGGACGCAGAGATGGCTTCCTGGAAGTCCACACGCACCTACGTCGACGAGGTTCCCCCACCTGGGGCGAACATCGTCAGTGGCATGTGGATTTTCAGGGTGAAGCGGCCACCTGGTTCTCCTCCTGTCTTCAAGGCGCGCTACGTGGCTCGAGGCTTCAGTCAGCGAGAGGGAGTTGACTTCTTTCAGACCTTCTCCCCACCCCGAAGATGACCACTCTTCGGGTGCTGCTGCACATAGCCGCTCATCGCGACTACGAGCTTCACTCACTTGACTTCAGCACTGCTTTCTTGCAGGGCAGCCTACACGAGGAGATCTGGCTGCGCCGCCCTCCTGGCTTCACTGGGTCGGTTCCTCCTGGTACCAAGTGGAGGCTCCAGCGGCCGGTCTACGGTCTCCGCCAGGCACCGCGTGAGTGGCACGACACACTGAGGACGACACTTGCGGCTCTTGGGTTCGCTCCCTCTACTGCTGACCCGTCACTGTTTCTACGCACAGACACCTCACTGCCGCCGTTCTACATCCTCGTGTACGTCGACGACTTGGTCTTTGCCACTGCTGACACCGCGGCACTCGCCCACGTGAAGTCGGAGCTGCAGAGGAGACACACGTGCACAGACCTGGGTGAACTGACAAACTATCTTGGCTTGCGGATCACCCGGGACAGAGCACGGCGCACCATCACCTTGACTCAGTCACACATGGTGCAGCAGATCCTTCAGCGCTTCCGCTTCACGTACTCCTCGCCTCAGTCCACTCCTCTGCCTACCGGTCACTCGCTCTCAGCTCTGCCTTCGGATGAGTCCGTAGAGCCGAGTGGTCCGTATCCAGAGCTTGTGGGCTGCCTCATGTACCTGATGACCTGCACTCGACCTGACCTTGCATACCCTCTTAGCATCCTTGCACGCTATGTCGCTCCTGGCCGTCACAGGAAGGAGCACATGGATGCCGCTAAGAGGGTGTTGCGCTACTTGTGCAGTACGTCGGGCATGGGGCTAGTGCTTGGAGGGCGAGACCGAGTTGTACTTACTGGACACTCAGACGCTTCTTGGGCGGACGACCAGGCTACTCAGCGGTCGTCTCAGGGTTACACCTTCAGCCTTGGCTCCGGCTCAGTTTCTTGGCGTTCTACACGCTCTTCTTCTGTTCTCAGCTCCAGTTGTGAGGCTGAGATCTACGCCACAGCCATGGCTGCCCAGGAGCTACGCTGGCTGACCTACCTGCTGACCGACTTGGGAGAGCGGCCTCGTTCTCCTCCAGTGCTGTACGTCGACAACCAGGCTGCCATTGCCTTGTGTGAGGAGCACAGACTGGAGCACAGAACGAAGCACATCGCCCTGCGGTACTTCCTTGCTCGAGAGCTGCAGCAGCGCGGTCAGCTTTGTCTGCGTTACGTGGCCACTGAGGCCAACCTTGCTGATGTGTTCACCAAGGCGCTTCAGCCTTGTGACCATCAGCGCTTCTGCACTCTGCTAGGCCTTGTGCCTACTGGACCTCACTTGCTTACTTCTTGACCCTGCTTGTACTGTGATCACTATATATATATATATATATATATATATATATATATATATATATATACCTGCATGTTTACTCTTGCTAGGTTGTGATCACTGTATCTCTTGTTTTGTTATAAACCTGCATGTGAACTGGCCTTGTGGCCACCTGCTTGTGCTCAGACTGTGTGGTGTCCTTGAGATCCACCCTGAGCTTTGTCTTGCTTGCTTTTATGCTTGACTGGTCTTGTGACCACTGTTAGGTTTGGCTATCCCCCCTACTTCACCTATGGGGGTGTGTCAAATTATATGTTTCATATTATTTAGTTCTAGGTTGTGTAGGGGTGATTCTTAGAGGGTACAACAATTCTCTCGATACTCTTGTACCCCCTCCCCTAACCTAATCGACATACTTTCCTCTCTAGTCTTGACACCTTGGAGACCCGCAGTTGAAGAATCTTCTCGAGGCCCTTGCGAGTAGCCAATTGGTGTTGAAGTCGACGATCGGGTTGAGTGAATCGCAGCCGACGATTGGCATTGCTTCAACGGAAGCAACTACAACGTGTGGCGAAAGAAGTTCATTCGACGGGCAGGGGAGGTTCAACTCCTACCGTTCTACTGGCCCAATGAGGAGACGAAAGAGGGCGTTGCACCTTCCAAGACGGATCCGTCGGAAAATGTGGTGTTGTTTAGGAGGCAAAGCAAGGAGGTGTTCTTTCAACTTTGCCATGCGGTTGCTGATTCTATTGCGGTGGATTTGGACCATTTTGCAGGGAAGTTAACCTTGGCACAGCGTGCGTGGAGTACCTCGAGTCTACGTACATGGGTACGAATGCCACCAACAAGAAGGCCGTGAGGAACCATCTGCTGAGGCTGAGCACGGAGAAGGGTAAAAACATTATCACCTACATCAACAGGGCAAAGAGCTACAACGACGACCTACGTGTGATGGGAGTCGTGGAGTCGGAGAAACAGATGATCGACTATATCGTTGAAGGACTTCCGAAGGAATACGAATCCGACGTTGGGATGTTCACGTATCAACCGCAGAAAAACCTGATGAAGCTGCAAGAGATTCTTCAATCTCTTGAGACGGTAAAGGAGATAAGGAAGAAGAAGGCAGCGAAGGAAATTGAAGACGAGAAACATGGTATGGTAAATGCAACTGCAATGAAGGCGTTTGGAGCGTGCTTCCATTGCGGAAAGAGAGGTACAAAGCGATCAACTACTATGAGAACCCGAATAGCAAGAATTACAGAGGGGAAGCGGGAGAGAACGACAATAAAGACAACAAGCGTGCAAAGAAGCGCGGATTTGGCGGCAAGTGCGACTATTGCGGGCGCTACGGACATAAGGTCGCGGATTGCTAATCCGATCTGAATAGCAAGAGCAATAAGGGACCGTCGGAGAAGAGGAACGTGGCGGAAAATGCAAATGTGACAGATGTGGTAAAGGAGGACGCCATCTTTGGTGGTGCACACCGTGCGAACATGGTGCGGGTTCCAAAGGTAGACGAGCCAACGGACGGGGGTAAGAATGATTCTTGGCTCTTGGATAGTGGTTGCACTCGTCACATGACGTGTAGGTCGGAATTGGTGGAGAAGATGAGATACTCAAGTGAGGGATTCATCTTGCAAGGTAACAACGAGAAGCTTCTAGTGACGAGAGAAGGTGATGTAGTGCTATAGAGTCCTTATGGTGGAATGAGACTAGAGAATGTTTTGCTTGTTGCCAATCACAGCTTGATGATGTATAATGATGGCAGTAAGGTGTCGGTTATACTCTCTTGTTTTTTGCTAGCTTGAATTTGTCCCTACACTTCTTTGTATCCCCCAATACTATACAACAACCAGCAAGCACCACACCACACCACACCATACATAATATTCTAAAACTTATTAAGGAATAAATGGTATTAAGAAACAACTATAGATGATTGTTGGCTTGTTTCTGCCTTTTAACAACAATCAAAACCAATCTACACTCATCTATATTCTTAAAAAATATTGCGCGGTGGGGGCGGTCCGCGGGCAGGCGGCGGGCGGCCGGCGGGTGGCCAGCCGGCGAGCGGGCGGCCGGTCATCCGGCGGGCGGGCGACAGGCGCGAGCCGCGGGGGGGAACGGGCGGGCAGAGGGCACGTGCCGAAGGAGCGGGCGGTTGGCGTATGTTCGGGCTTTCGCTTTCTTTTCCTTTCCTCTATCTTTCTCTCTTCATCCTACCATTCTCTTCTATTCCCTACTACTTCGTTTCACTCCTTGATTCTTTTTCTTCTTCTTTTTTTCCCGTCTCTCATTCATGTATACATAGCGTCTCCATAGAGAAATAATCATGTCAACCTACCATTCTCTTCTATTCCCTACTACTTCGTTTCACTCATTGATTCTTTTTCTTCTTCTTTTTTTCCCGTCTCTCATTCATATATACATAGCGTCTCCATAGAGAAATAATCATGTCGAAATTCTGTCCTTTTGGAAACACATTTATATTCGGCTTGTATTTGTTTTTCCCTAATCAATAAAAAGCTACTTTGCACGCCACCACTAGCACTACCCGCATTCTGCCACTAGCATTGCCTGCACCACTAGTGCTACAGGCATTTTTTGCCGCATACGGTAGCAATGCCCCCATACACGCAGCTTGCACTGCCTGCAAACCCGCCGTCAAGCATTGTCTGCTTGCCCGCAGCCTAGCACTGCCCGCCTACCTACCACCCAGTGTTGCACGTACATCCACATCTAGTACTGTCCGCATAATGCCGCCAAGTACTGCCCACATACCCAGCCATAATTTAGTCATAATACAGACATGATGTAAAAAAAAAACACACACACAAAAAACAAGAGGAGACGTCGTCGTTGTTATGTTTGCGGAACTTTTAGATATAAATTCATAACAAAATATACCATGTGCAAATTTGTGCACATATATACATGTATGTATACGGACACATATCTACAATGGGCTCCGCACCCGCAGGCTCAGCACCCCCAGGCTCCGCACGCTCAGGCTCAGCACCCGCAGGCTCAGTACCCCCACTAGCACCTGAGTCACCAGTGACCTCGACAGGCTCAACCAAGGGGAGTGGATCTACCTGAGACACACCTTAAGGAGCAGGACCCTGAAAAGGAGGAGGTCTATCCAGAGGGGGACCTGGAGCGAGGAAGAGCGACGGGGGGGGGGAGAAAAGGGGCAGTGCGTGTCAAAATGAGGAATGGATGGTGCATTGATGTTGGTTGGGGTACATATAGCTAACCCTAAGTTTTGTACCCCCTAAGACAAACCTCACTATAGGCTACAACATTTGACACACCCCTATAGCCTAAGTGAGGGGTGTCTAGCAGAACCAAACGAGTACGGTCACAAGACCAGTCCAAGAAACGAAGCTCAGGGTGGATCACAACGTCACCACACAGTCTGAGCACAAACAAAAGTGGCCACAAGGCCAGTCCAAGAAGTAACAGAGATATATAGAAAGCAAAGTAAACAGTACACTCAAGTCTAAGCAACACGAGAACCAGTGTCAACAAGGCCTAACTGCACACAGCACCTCTGGTGGTCACAAGGCGGAAGCGCCTTGGTGAAGATGTCTGCAGTGTTGGCCTCGGACTCCACAAACTCAAAGCGAGCCTGTCCACGCCTCTGCAACTCTCGCAGAAGAAAGTACCTGACGTGAATGTGCTTCACTCTGCTCTCCAGTCGTGGCTCTCGACAAAGGAGAATAGACGCCTTGTTGTCAGTGAACAAGGTCGGTGCAGAGCTCGGCCGCTCACCAAGGTCGGTGAGCAAGAAGGTCAACCAACGCAGCTCCTGTGCCGCCATGGCACCAGCGTAGATCTCAGCCTCAGCTGTAGAGGTCGAGACCGAAGAGGAGCGTGTGGACCGCCAGGAAACAGCTCCAGAACCCAGGCTGAAACAGTACCCCTGAGTAGACCTGTGAGTCTCAGCGTCGTCAGCGTAAGAGGAGTCACAGTGACCAGTAAGTACAACAGACTGCTGCCCTCCAAGAACTAGCCCCACGCCTGATGTCGTCGCTAGGTACTTCGCCACCCTCACAGCTGCTGTCCAGTGAACAGGACGGTGTCTCCCTGGCGCAACAAAGCGCGCAAGGATGCTGAGAGGGAAGGCGAGGTCCGGGCGAGTACAAGTCATCAGGTACATGAGGCAACCCACAAGCTCTGCGTAGGGACCACTAGGCTCGAACGGCTCGTCAGGAAAGGGTCCAGTGAGTCTGTGGTCAACAGCAAGAGGTGTGCGCTGTACTGTGGAGTGCTGAAGCCCGAACCGCTGAAGGACCTGCTGCACCATGTGTGACTGTGAAAGTGTAATGGTGCGAGCAGCTCTGTCCCTGGTGATCTGCAGGCCAAGGTAGTGGCGCAGCTCACCAAGATCAGTGCAGGTGTGTCTCTTCTGCAGTTCGGACTTCACGTGTGCCAAAGCAACCCTGTCAGGGGTGGCGAAAACAAGGTCGTCAACGTAGACCAGAACAAAGAAAGGTGTGGGGCCACGACGAACGAACAGCGACGGGTCAGCAGAAGACGGCTGGAACCCAAGGTCAGACAGGGTAGAACGCAGGGTGTCGTGCCACTCACGAGGAGCCTGACGAAGACCGTAAACCGGTCGCCTCAGCCTCCACTGGGTCCCAGGAGGGAAAGAGCCAGTGAAGGCAGAGGGACGACGCAACCAGACCTCCTCGTGAAGACTGCCCTGAAGGAAAGCAGTAGAGAAGTCGAGAGAGTGTAACTCGTAGTCTCTCTGTGCTGCTACGTGTAGTAACACCCGAAGAGTGGTCATCTTCGGGGTGGGCGCGAAGGTCTGAAAGAAGTCAACTCCCTCGCGCTGACTGAAACCTCTAGCCACGTAGCGCGCCTTGAAGACCGGAGGAGATCCCGGTGGCCGCTTCACCCTGTAGATCCACATGCCGTCGACTACGTTCGCCCCCGGAGGGGGAACCTCATCGACGTAGGTGCCTGTGGATCTGTAGGAGGCCATCTCTGCGTCCATGGCAGCTCTCCACTGA